AGAAAATCTATACAATAATATGTAAGCATGTGGTTTGAATTAATATACTTACTGGTCTTATTTATGCGTTTTATTATTATCATTTAAACATTTTTTTTAACCACTAAAGGCAGATTATTCTTTTTTATTGACTAAATCCACCAAGTTCAAGTGGCTGAGGAAAAAAGAAAAATAGTTTTGGGGTGTGCAGGGAAGGGCAGAGTTTTGTAAATACAAAGGTCGTCTTCACGAGATCAGTTCACAGCATTGAGTTACTCCCTTTTAAACTATAGCGTACATCTATGGTTCACAGTCGCTTACTTTGTGGGGTCGAGAGCGTTGGTTCCATGGTGGTCATTGGGCTGTCGGTTGAGAGGGAAAACGACATTACCCAACTTCTTTGCTGACGCTGACAAGAAGCCCACAATGAATTTATATTCGTGGTTGGTTAGCAGGTGCTCTTTTATGGTAGGCCTATAATGTTTCTTTCCAATCAAACGTGTATCGTCCTTGTATGTTACTTTCTTGTAACACTTCTATTATTCTGCACTTATATGACCTATGTATGTGTTGTAAGTGTTGTAAAACTCTTTCTAAAGCTAAGCGTTTATTTTCCTGTAGGCTGGGATTCATGAAACACAAGATTGCGTTATAACTCCCAGACTTGCTCCGTTGCTCAATTCATGGGCCTGGCAGTGAAGGGGTTACAACTCATGCTTAAAATTATATTAAAAAGTGAAACACCGTTATTGCGTAAAGTGCATCTCCTAACTCGAATACACATATGAACGTCTACATAACCTGTTGGAGACAAATTGAACCGTCATGAGTGATAATGATTCTTCCGGAACAGAGACGTATCAGATACAAGTGAGATGCGAAATAAGAAAAAAGATGTGCGTCATTACGCCTCCATCGTAGAAGTTTAGGCCTTTAAGGAGGCGGGCTTCGACCCGGCCTGTTAGGGCCAACCGTAGCTGACAGGGATACAACATCCCCAGAAGAAAGATAGAAGATACTCGAAACATTTCACCATACTCGGGAATCGAACTTGAGTCTCCAGCGTGCGAGAGCTTAGCTTTTAACCGCCACACCACGGAAGCACCGGTGACGAAACACAGCCATTGATCTTAGGCGGACAACCAACCCAGCCAGACAACATCAATACGCTGATAATCCCTTGTTCATTTTCTTATACGAGCATTATCATGCGCAGTGTCCTCAACTGATAGCGGCTTCATCATTCAACGGTGTGGCCTGGCTTTTAAAAAAAAGCCTAATCACGAACAGCTCATTACTGGGTTATCTTAAGGGTCACAGTATGATTTGGAGTGTTTCGACCATCTCTCCTTCCCCTTCCCCACATTCAATCACAATATTCAGCCAGCCAAACCTCCTTGTGCGATAGATGTTTTTTTCAGCTGATCCATGATTGGCGTTCTTGTGCAGTCTACTAATCTCCCCACTCTCTCTCCTCTCTCTAATTTCTCTCTCTTTCATTCTTCTCTCCCTCTGTCTCTCTTTCTCTGTCTGTCTGTCTGTCTGTCTGTCTGTCTGTCTGTCTGTCTGTCTGTCTGTCT